TGATACTGGCATCTAGTGGGTTGAGATCAAGGATGCTGCTCAAAACCAGCCCCCAATGCTGAAGGTGAGAATGCTAATATAAGATATTAAAAAGTCCTTAAGTGCTATGGAAGAAAATGTCAAGAAGGATAAAGGACTTCGGAGTACTGGGCTGGGGCAGTGGTCAATAAATTTAGTGACCAGTCTCAATAAATTGAATGAGAAGGTAAAATGTTGTTTTGATCCAGCACTTCCTATGTTCCAGCTTTTCTCTCTCTCTCTCTCTCTTTTATTTTATTTTTTAAATTTTTTATTAAATTTTTTGTTACAGATATTTCTCCTTTTTTACCCCATTGGCACCCCCCCCTCCCCACCCCACCCTTAACCCGTCCCCAGCTTAGTTGTCCATGTCCATTGATCATGCATACACACATAGAAGTTCTGTGGTTTATCTCTCCCCACCCCCTCTTCTGAGGGATGTCAGTCTGTGCCCTACTTCCATGTTTCTGGGTCTACCGTATTCCTCAGACTGTTATGTTCATTATATTCCATATATAAGTGAGGTATTTGTGGTATCATGTGGTATTTGTCTTTTTCTGCTTGGCTTATTTCACTTAGGATAATACTTTCCAGGTCCCTTAATGTCGTCTCAAAGGATAAGAAATCTTTCTTTCTTACAGCTGCGTAGTACTCCATTGTGTATATGTACCACCGCTTTTTTATCCATTCGTCTACTGATGGACACTTGGGCTGTTTCCAGATCTTAGCTATTGTAAATAGTGCTGCTATGAACATGGGGGTACATATATTCCTCCTGATTGGTGTTTCAGGCTTCTTAGGATATATTCCTAGAAGCGGGATCACTGGGTCAAATGGAAGTTCAATTTTTAATTTTTTGAGGGAACAACATATTGTTTTCCATAGTGGCTATACCTGTCTGCATTCCCACCAGCAGTGTACTAGAGTCCCCTTTTCTCCACACCCTCACCAACACTTGTTGTTTGATGATTTGTTGATGGCGGCCATTCTGACAGGTGTGAGGTGATACCTCATTGTTGCTTTAATTTGCATCTCTCTGATGATTAGTGATGTTGAGCATTTCTTCATATGTCTCTTGGACATTTGTATGTCCTGTTTGGAGAGGTGTCTATTCAGCTCCTCTGCCCATTTTTTTTTTTTTTTTTAATGAATTTTTATTTATTTTTTTGTTACACATATTTTACCTTTTTACCCCATTGGCACCCCCCACCCCACCCCCCCTCCACCCTGTCCCCGGCTTAGTTGTCCATGTCCATTGGTCATGCATACATGCATATAAGTTCTGTGGTTTATCTCTTCCCACCACCCCCACCCCCCATCCCCTCTTCTGAGGGATGTCAGTCTGTGCCGTACTTCCATGTGTCTGGGTCTACTGTATTCCTCAGACTGTTATGTTCATTATATTCCATATATAAGTGAGATCATGTGGTATTTGTCTTTTTCTGCTTGGCTTCTTTCACTTAGGATAATACTTTCCAGGTCCCTCCATGTCGTCTCAAAGGATAAGAGATCTTTCTTTCTTACCGCTGCATAGTACTCCATTGTGTATATGTACCACAGCTTTTTTATCCATTCGTCTACTGGTGGACACTTGGTCCTCTGCCCATTTTTTAATTGGGTTCTTTGTCTTCCTTTTGTTGAGTTGTATGAGCACTCTATATATATTGGAAATTAACCCCTTATCTGATACATCATTGGCAATGATGTTCTACCATACAGTGGGTAGCCTTTCCATTTTGATGATTGTTTCTTTTGCTGTGCAGAAGCTTTTGAATTTGATGTAGTCCCATGTGTTCATTTTTTCCTTTGTTTCTATTGCCTTAGGTGATGTATCAGTGAAAATTCTGCTCCATATGATGTCCGAAATTTTGTTGCCTACATTTTCTTCTAGAATTTTTATGGATTCACGGGTCACATTTAAGTCTTTTATCCATTTTGAGTTTATTCTTGTGTTTGGTGTAAGTTGATGGTCTAGTTTCATTTTTTTTTTTGCATGTAGCTGTCCAATTTTCCCAACACCATTTATTAAAGAGGCTGTCTTTACTCCACTGTATGCTCTTGCCACCTTTGTCAAATATTAATTGAGCATATTGCCTTGGGTCCATCACTGGTCTATATGCCTGTTCTTGTGCCAGTACCAGGCTGTTTTGATTACAGTCGCTTTGTAGTATAACCTGCTATCTGGTATTGTGATCCCACTTACTTTGTCCTTCTTTTTCAAAATTGCTGTGGCTATTCGGGGATTTTTTTGGTTCCATATGAACTTTTGAAGTATTTGTTCTAGTTCTGTGAAATATGTCGTTGGTATTTTGATGGGAATTGCACTGAATCTATAGATTGCTTTGGGTAGTATGGACATTTTAATGATGTTAATTCTTCCAATCCATGAACAGGGTATGTGCTTCCACTTTTTTATATCTTCCTCTATTTCTTTTTTCAATGTCCTGTAGTTTTCTGCAAATAGGTCCTTTACTTCTTTGGTTAAGTTTATTCCTAGGTATCTTAATTTTTTTGGTGCAATGGTAAATGAGATTGTTTTTTCAGTTTCTCTTTCTGTGAGTTCATCTTTGGTGTACAAGAATGCCGTCGATTTCTTGACATTAATTTTGTATCCTGCTACTTTGCCAAATTCATTTATTAAGTCTAGTAGATTTTTGATGGAGTCTTCAGGGTTTTCTATGTATAATATCATGTCATCTGCAAATAATGACAGTTTCACTTCCTTCTTTCCAATCTCTTTTATTTTTTCCTCATGTCTGATTGCTGTGGCTAAGACTTCCAGTACTATGTTAAATAAGGGTGGCGAAAGTGGACATCCCTGTCTTGTTCCTGTTCTTAATGGAAATGTTTTTAGTTTCTGCCCATTGAGTATGATGTTAGCTGTAGGTCTTTCATATATGGCCTTTATTTTGTCAAGATATGATCCCTCTATTCCCACATTGATGAGCGTTTTTATCAGAAATGGATGCTGGATTTTGTCGAATGCTTTTTCGGCATCTATTGATATGATCATGTGGTTTTTATTCTTCATTTTGTTTATGTGGTGTATCACATTCATTGATTTGCAAATATTGTACCAGCCTTGCCTCCCTGGAATGAATCCCACTTGGTCATGGTGAATAATTTTTTTGATGTATTGCTAGATCCGATTTGCTAGTATTTTGTTCAGGATTTTGGCATCTATGTTCATCAGGGATATTGGCCTGTAGTTTTTTTCCTTTGTAGTGTCTTTTTCTGGTTTTGGAATTAGAATTATGCTGGCCTCATAGAATGTGTTTGGAAGTCTTCCTTCTTCTTGAATTTTTTGAAATAGTTTGAGGAGAATGGGTGTTAGTTCTTTTTTGAATGTTCGGTAAAACTCCCCCGTGAAGCCATCTGGGCCTGGGCTTTTGTTTGCTGGAAGAGTCTTGATTACCTCTTCAATTTCCTTAGTTGTTATTGGTCTGTTCAAGTTTTCTATCTCTTCCCGGTCCAGTTTTGGGAGACTGTGTGTTTCTAGAAATTTGTCCATTTCGCTTAGATTGTTGAATTTGTTGCCATATAGTTGTTCATAGTAGCTGTTAACAATTTTTTGTATTTCTGTGGTGTTGGTTGTTACTTCTCCTCTTTCATTTCTGATTTTGTGTATTTGGGTTCTCTCTCTTTGTTTCTTGGTGAGTCTAGCTAAGGGTCCATCGATCTTGTTTATCTTTTCGAAAAACCAGCTCTTTGTTTCATTGATCCTTTGAATTGTTTTTTTGGTCTCTATGTCATTTATTTCTGCTCTGATCTTTACTATTTCCTTCCTTCTACTTGCTCTGGGGTTTTCTTTTTGTTTTCTTTCTAATTCTTTAAGTTGTGAGGTTAGACAGTCAATTAGAAATGTTTCTTGTTTCTTGAGGTAGGCCTGTAGTGCTATGAACTTCCCTCTCAGAACTGCTTTTGCTGCATCACATAGATTTTGTGTTGTTGTGTGTTCATTTTCATTGGTTTCCAGGAAGTTTTTAATTTCTTCCTTGATCTCCTCGGTAACCCATTCATTGTTTAATAACATGCTATTTAGCCTCCATGTGTTGAAATGTCTTTGCATGTTCTTGTTGCAATTGACTTCTAGTTTCATGCCATTGTGATCTGAGAAGATGCTTGATATGATTTCAATCTTCTTGAACTTATAGAGATTTAGTTTGTGTCCTATCATGTGGTCTGTCTTTGAGAATGTCCCATGTGAACTTGAGAAGAATGTGTATTCTGTAGTTTTGGGGTGTAATTCTCTGTAGATATCTATTAAATCTATTTGGTCTAGTGCTTCATTTAGAGTCTCTGTTTCCTTGCTAATTTTTTGCCTAGAGGATCTATCCAGTGCTGTCAGCGGGGTGTTGAAGTCCCCAGCTACGTCAACAATAAAGATTTTTTTGTTTGTTTGTTTTGTTTTGTTTTTTATCATTCTCACCCGAGGACATTTTTCCATTTTTTGTTCAGATAGAGCGGGAGGGAGAGAGAGGAAGAGAGAGAGAGAGAAACATCGACGTGAAACGGACACATCGAGTGGCTGCCACCCGCACAACCAACCAGGGCCGGGGACAAACTGCAACCGAGGTACGTGCCCTTAGCGGGAACCGAACCCGGGTCCCTCCGGACCACAGGCCGATGCTCTAACCGCTGAGCCAAACCGGCCAGGGCAATAAAGATTTTTTAAAAAGTACTATGAGCCACTTTACAGATAGGATAATAAAACCCTCTGGAGCTGTTTGGCAATGGAGATGGCTGTCAGTGCTGTGACATCACCCCCTAACCGCACTGGTCTGCTCTGCCACCTAGCAGGTCTCCCCACCCTCATCCCTACCCTGGCTGTCACACCCTTGAGGGCAGGGATTCTGCCTCTGCTAGTTTGTCTAGTTCACTTCTCTGTCTCCACCCAGGCCTGGCCCACACGGATACCCAGCCACTGTCAGCTGAGGGGATGGTCTGGTTCCTGGGGACAGGGACACAGGCTGAGGACGCACCTGGTCACTGCGGGAGACTCCGTAGCGCAGCTCATTCACAAAGTGCTCACAGTTGTCACTGGTCAGCTTGTAGAGCATCTCCTGCCCCACCAGCTCCTCCGCCTGCTGGACGATTTTGCTGGGAGGCAGCGGCGAGTACTTCTTGTCATGTTTGTTATTGACACGGTACTTGTCTCTCCCGGCCACCACGGACAGCAGCTCCCTCTTCACTATGGCCTTGTCAGTCAGGGCGGACATGAGGCTGGCCGCACCAGCCCCCGCGATTTCACCTGTGGTTCACAAAGAGGAAACAGAGATGGTCCTGGGCAGGCCCCGCGGCTCAGAGCGGGCAGCAGGCAGCCCTGCTGCTATGGTGTCATCAATCAGGATGAGCTGTGGAAGGGCCTGGCCATCAGCCTGGCTTCAAACTCAAAACCAGGACAGACCCAAGCTTGGGTGACTTTGGAAAAGTCAAAGGATGTCCCTGGGCTCAGCTTCCTCATTTCTAAAGCAAAGGACGTGAATTCTTCTAAAGGACCACGTGTGTTCAGATGTCCCCGAAAGATTCAGGATGGGGCAGAGTGGTGCAGGGCAAAGCCACCCAGGTCCTACTCCCAGCTTCCCCTCACTAGCTTGTGGCCTAGAAACTGTCACTGCTCCTTCCTGAGCCAGAGTGGGGGACCTCAGCTGGCAGGGGTGACATTTTTAAAATAGAAGGAAAGGAAGCTGTTGAGCAAGATGAGGCCTGACCTGCAGACCCAGGGCTGCACTCACTGTGTGGCCTCAGGCAAGTGCCTTCTCTTCTCCTGGGCTCTTATCATTTACAAATTGAAGGGACTGGGTCAGGGGATGGCCACACTCTCCCAGCCCTAAATTCTGTGATTTGCCTTTAACGGGGACCTCAGTCTCCTGCCTCACCCAGGCTTCTGGGGAAGCCAGAATGAGAGGGCAAAGCGATGTCCCCTGGAACCCTCGGGGAGGAGTCAGTGGACCTGCCGGATGAGCTGGGCTCGCAGGAAGCCTATTGGTATAACGTCAATCTCGGAATAGCCAATTCATCTCCTGGCCACTTCTAAATTCACCTGTTTGTGTGTATTTACCCTTTAGTTCACCAGTTCTTATTTTCTTTTTAAAAGACCATTTGAACCTGGCCAGTGTGGCTCAGCTGGTTGGAGCACTGTTCTGCACACGGAGGGGTGGCGGGTTGATTCCAGGTCAGGGAACACACCTAGCTTTCCCGTTCGATCCCTGGTTGGGACACGTGTGGGAGGCAACTGATGGATGCTTCTCTCTCACATTAATGTTTCTCTCTCTCTCCTTCTCTCTCTTTCCCTCTTCCTCTCTAAAATCAATAAAAATAAATAATAGGGCATTTTAAAAAATGTCTCTCTACCTGCTCCTACCGCTGCAGGAGGAAAAATGGGGCAGAGAGACCCTCTGCAGGGAAAAACCAGAAGGGACCGCACCCAGCTGGGCCTGGGCTACAGATCCCAAAGAGAAGGAGAGGTAGAGGAAACAAGATAAATACAGGCATATAAATATGTCACTGAGAATTTGTCTCCTCCATCCCTGTCCCTCAGTACCCTCCAACCCTGAGTATCTCCTTCTCAGCTTCTAATTTTTCTTTTTCTGCCCCTTAGTCTTCTCATCTTTCTCTAGGTCCCCCACACTTGCATACCTCTCTCCCCTTCAGTCTCCCAACCCCGCCTCTCTCCCCATCCCTGTCATCAGCCTCCCTCCGCCTGCCGTGAATTTCTTTCTTTCCCCAGTAGAGGGCGATCTCTCCTAAATTGCTCTGAGCTACTTAGACATTTTGGCACTTTACCATAGGATGGCCTAGATGTTTACCCAAAAGAAACAAAAATTTATGTTCACACATGCAAAACAAAACTGTATGGGAATAGTTATAGTGGCTCTAATAATTACTGTCAGAAATAAAAAACCACCGCCCATCCAGTGTAGCTCAGTGGATTGAGTGTCATCCCATGGACTGAGAGGTCCCAGTCAAGGCACATGCCCTGGGGGTTGCAGGCTCAATCCCCAGTCGGGAGCATGCAGGAGGCAGCCGATTGATGTACCTCTCTCACATCAATGTTTCTATTTCTCTCCCTTCCTCTCTCTCTAACAAGTCAATTAAAAAAGAAAAACATATTTTTAAAAAATAATAAAATTAAAAACCACCCAAATGTCCTTCAGCTGGTGGATAGGTAAACAATGGAATACTCAGCAATAAAAAGGAGCAAAGTGCCATCACGTGCCACAACATACACGAGCACGTGCTATAACATACACGAACCTCAGATGCATTGTGCCAAGTTAAGGACACTAGACAGAAAGGCAACATTCCATATGATTCCATTTCTATCACATGGTAGAAAAGGCAAAACTATAAGAATAGAAAAAAAGACCACAGGTTGCCAGGAACTGGGGGTGAGGGGCTGGGGGTACAGGGGTTGACAAGGCATAGGGGGACTTTGGGGCAGGGAGGAGGGAACTCTCCTATATCTGTATTGCGCTGGTGGTTACATGATTATATGCATTTGTCAAAAGTCATAGAACTTTATCTCAATAGAGTAAGTCTTACTATTAATAAAGTATTCCTCAATAAGCCTGCTGTTGAGTGGTTTCCGAGGTTACGGCATTTTCTTTAATGCCATGTGCTCTGGAAGGGAAGGGAGGTTGGTCCCGCACCCGCCCAGGCCAGGCCCCGCACAGGTGCTGCCCAGAGGATGCAGCTGAACTTAGGGGGTGAAGTCACATGGGCAACTCACAAGTCGGTAAGTGGAGGCCCCAGGATCCCTGCTGGGTTCTCTCTAGCTGGGAGACCCACACTCCTTCCGTTGCACTGTGCAGCCGGCTGTACACTATGTCCCACCCTTTTGCCCTCCAGAACATCGAATGCCCATGGAAGGGGGCTTCCCTAGGACAGTGGGTTGGCTGGAACTGAACACCACTCTCTCCCGGAAAGGTCAACAGTCTCTCCATGAACTTGCTGCTAAGGAAGAATAGCAGTTGATATATCTACCAGGGAATATCATTCAGCCAGTGCCCACTATGCCAGGCACTGAGGGGAGAACAGGCACACGAGTGTGCAACTGTTCACACTGGCCATCTTCCCCCTTGTGCTTCAACAGCGAGCCCATCCTTACTCGGCGGAGCCAGGTGGACCACGTAGCCGTCTCCCACACAGATGGCCCAGTGCTCGTAGCCAAAGCGGAAAATCTCAATCAGGTCTCCAGGACGTGGTTTGGCCTGTGCCTGAAAACCAGAGACAGCCTGAGGTTAGCCCTCACAGGGAACATTCTGGAAGGAGCCCCAGCACTGCCTGCAGACCCCTTCCATCATCTCCTGCAGGAACACACAGGTGGACAGTCCCTCTCCCACTGGGGCTGCTGGGCTGGAATGGAGCTCATCGGGGGACAGGGAAGAGAGGGAGAGGGTTCCAGAGGGCGGTGTGGGCAGGCGTGTAGCACGGGAGTGTGGCGTGAGCACGTTTTGTGCAGGGTATGTTTGTGTCAGCGAGGGACTATAGGATTCCCAGGACGTCTAAATGCCTCACAGAGCCACCCGCTTTGTGCCGGGGCCTGAGTGGTTCTGTGAGTGCAGAGTTCCGACTCGCACATCCCAGATTCGGAGCTTGACACGACCCACATTCGATATCCATCACTCCTTCACTAAGAACTATCGTTACCCCAGACAGATGAGAAGACTGGGTCTCGGGAAGGCTAGGTAACTTGCCAAAGAGCCTGACCTAGTGAGTAGAAAAGCAAGATTGAAACCTACGTCTGCTCATTTCTAACATTACACCCCTAACGATCCCAGAGCACCCCAGGCAGGCCCGGGCAGCTGAAGTCTGGGCTCCGGGCCAAGACCCGGGCTGGGGATCTCAGGGTGAGACTGGAATGGTGGCAGGGCACTGCCCTTCTGGAGTCTGCAGGAGCAGGTGTTTATACCTGGGACTTGAGATACGCCCTTATCACCAAGGTTCTACTTGAGGTCGATGGCTCTGAGAGCAGCCAGCCCCTCCCCTCCCCGCCTCAGCTGAGCCGGTCACACGGGCCGGACCACCCTGCCCAGGGGCTTGGGCTGCTGCGTGGACTGAGGGCAGCTCCCACCAGCAGTGTGGGGCTGAGGTGGGGCTCCAGGAAAGCATGCTTTCCAAAAGGAATCTGCTGGGACACTCGGTTGAGAGAAAAGCTTTTGACTACAGGAGTCAAGCCTCAACCTGACCGAAGATGGAAAAATTTGAGCATGAAAAAGAAACACATCAAATATGTGAATAGTGATATCAATGTGTTTATAATGATATTTTTAAAAAGTCATTAGTCTTGCCCTGGCCGGTTTGGCTCAGCGGTTGGAGCGTCGGCCTGGGGTCCAGAGAGACCCGGGTTCAGTTCCCGCTAAGGGCACGTACCTCGGTTGCGGGTTGTCCCTGGCCCTGGTTGGTCGTGAGGGTGGCAGCCACTCGATGTGTCCCTTCACGTTGATGTTTCTCTCTCTCTCTTCCTCTCTCTCCCTGCCGCTCTATCTGAACAAAAAATGGAAAAATGTCCTTGGGTGAGGATAAAAAAAAAAGTCCTTAGTCACCTTTGGAGGATGCAAAAGAATCACTATATTATTTCAAAAACTGATAAATAAAGAAAAAAATTCAAGCATTTCTTAAATGAACTGTACTCAGAGAATCAAATTAAAAATAACAACAAGTCCAGCCAGTGTGGCTCAGTGGTTGAGCATCGACCCATGCACCAACAGGTCGCTGGTTCGATTCCCAGTCAGGGCACATGCCAGGTTGTGGGCCCGATCCTCACTCACTGGGGGCATATAGGAGGCGGCCAGTCAATGTTCTCTCTCATCGATATTTCTATCTTTCTCTCCCTCTAAATTCCTCTCTCTCTGAAATCAATAAAGGGAAAAAAATGTTTTTAATAAATAAAAATAAATAAAAATGACAACAAAACTCAAAGCCACAAAACAACACTTAAAAGGTGGCCCTGGCTGGTTTTGCTCAGCGGTTGGTGTGTGGACCAAGGAGTCTCGGGTTCGATTCCGGCCAAGGGCACATGCCTCGGTTGCAGTTTGTTCGGGTCGTGCGGGAGGCAACCAGTCAATGTGACTATCACATCAATGTTTCTCTCTGTCTCCCTCCCTCCCTTCCTCTCTTTCTGATAGTAAGTAGAAAAATATCCTCAGGTGAGGAATAAAAAAAATTTTTCTTAAGAATGCTTTCCTGGCAGCCCCCACCTCAGCCCCACACTGCTGTCAACCATTTTCCTGGCCCCTCCCTTCCCAGCTTGTCCCACCCACCCAGGACGGTGGGACTGGGCAGTGGGCAGGGGCTGCCCTCCCTGAGCCCACCATCCCTGCCCCCCCCCAGAGAGCGGACCGCAGGCCCAGCTGCAGACTCCCAAGCAAGCCCATGCAGTCACCACGGACAGGGTTACGGGGTAAAAATAACAGCTTTCTGAGGACGTACCCCAGCCATCCTTCTGTGAAGACGGTACCCGTGCGCTGCTGCCTCTGTGTCCAGCCTTCTATAATCTTAAGAGTTTCATTTTCCTCTGTGAAGACGGTATCCGTGCGTTGCTGCCTCTGTGTCCAGCCTTCTATAATCTTAAGAGTTTCGTTTTCCCTCTGACCCTGCCCACAAACACAAACACCCATAAGGCGCTCCTCGGTAAGACATTTGTCCCCGTGACCTGAGAGGCAATGATTCAGGAAGAGGAGGTTCGTGTGCTTAATATTTAGATTCAGCGTGCATTACCAAATAAATAAATAAGTAAATAAATTTTTAAAACTAAAAATACAAATCAAAGTTCACATAAAGTCTACTCTTGGTTCAAGCAGGGCCAAGGTCCATGCCAGGTAGACAAGCAGGCATGGAAATCAGCCGGAGAGAAATCAGATTAGGGCCACCCAGCCTCGGGCCCAGAGAACAGAGGACGGGCGGAGTCAGGTGGGTGTGGGGCCAGGCGGGAGCGACAGAAGCCAAAGTGGAAGAATTTCCAGGAAGAGGGAGGAGCTCCAAGGAGACTCCAAAACAAAGACTGACCATGACCAGAACATACCAACATTTCCAGCAACCTCAAAGCCGATGGAACCACACTGAACATGTCATCAGAGGCACGCTGAACAGTGAGCCTTCTTGACCACAAGTGTGGCGAGAGACCCCCCTCCTTCTCCCGCTCCAGCCCACAGTTCACAAACATACATTCTAGACCAAATGGAAACCCAAATCCAGGACTGCCCGGTGTGGAGAGGCTGCTTTCTTAGGCACCAGTGTGCTACCCCACCCAAAGCCCCGAATAAGATTCTGTCATCGACACCCCCCTGTGGGCTGGAAGGACCTGGCAAACCGGGCAGGAAGGGATGGGTGCAGTGGGGAGGGCCCTCAGGGCAGCAAGGATCAGTGATCTGTCTTCTTCAGGCTCTTCGCATAAAAAGAGCATTATTGTCAGGAGACAGGTGGATGGGAACTGAGACCGGACAGCTGTCCAGTGTACTGCGTCTCAGGACCAGGATCTCACACGCGGTCTTTCTCCAGCTGAGACTCCCTTCTCTCGGCATCTCCACTCCATTCTCTGGTGTCAGCAGGACCATCCTGGAAGTATCTCCCACCCTCGATTCTGGAGGGAGATAGTGGGGTTGGCTTAGCCCATTCCTTCCTGCCCCATTGGCCAGAGCCCTTTGGGCCGGCCCCCACTTGGTGCTGGACACCTTTTGAGTGGCTGGGCTAGAATCAGGGGATCTCAGTTTGCCCAATCAGTGCCACCCCCTTGCGACATCACAAGGAGGACTTGAGCAGGAGGACTGGCAGGGCACAGCGGCCGGAAACGGCACTGCCCCGTTCTGAGGCCCACAGCTTCCCACCTAATCCTGTCTGTCCAGGGGGTCAGAAAATCCGAACCAAGAGCCACATGAAGAGTCCTCAAGGCTGGTGGGTTGGGGATTCTGTTTGTCCCAGCAGCTGCTGGGCAGGAAAGGCCCAAAGTGCTCCCAGCTGGGCAGAGTGGGACCAGGGCAGGCCACACACCCAGCCTGCTGGCCATCTAGGACCACAGCCTGGAATACAAGCATTTGTGGTCCTACGTGTGTGTATATATATGTATTTTTTAATTATACAAAGGGCTATAAAAGGCAAGATAAGCCTCCCCACCCCCAGCTCCAGCCACTTAATTCCCCTCTATGGAGGCAACCTTATCAGTCTCTGGGTATCCTTCCAGGACATCATAGACTACATATACTTTTTAATGATTTTTATTAAATTTTATATTTATGTAGAAGAATATTCATAAGTGTGAGGGGTAAGAAGTAACAATAATGGTGCCAGGTAGGTACTGGCAATATTGGAGGGAACACTTGGCAAAGTATATGATTTATCTAACCACGATGCTGTACACCTGAAACTAATACAAAATAATATTGAATGTAAACTGTAATAGAAAAATAAAATTCAAAGTTCTTTTTAAAGAGAGAAAGAAATTAAAATATTTAATTAGTCCAAGGCAGTGACTAACACAGAGCAGCAGCTCTGCTTGCTGAATGAGTAAATAGAATAATAATTTAATGCAAATAAAGACATTTATTTGAGCCCTGGCCGGTTTGGCTCAGCCGTCAGAGCGTCAGCCCATGGACTGGAGAGTCCCGGGTTCGGTTCCCATTAAGAGCACGTACCTCAGTTGCAGTTTGTCCCCGGCCCCGGTTGGAGTTGTGTGGGTGGCAGCCACTCGATGTGTCTCTCTCATGTCAATGTTTCTCTCTCTCTCCCTCCCTCTCTACCTCCCACTCTATCTGAAGATGAATGCAAAAATATCCTCAGATGAGGATTAAAAAAACAAACATTTATTTGATAGGGGAAAAAAGAGAAATAACAATAAAACCACCCATGCACCAACAACCTGGTTGAAGAAATAGAAAACAACCAATAAAGCCTGGCCAGTGTGGCTCAGTGGATTGAGCATCGTTCCATGGACAGAGAGGTCCGATCAGGGCACATGCCTGGGTTTCGGGCTCGATCCCCAGTAGGGGGTGTGCAGGAGGCAGTGATCCATGTTTCTATCTCTCTCCCTTCCTTTCTCTCTAAAAAAATCAATAAAAACATACTTTTTAAAAAAGAAAGAAAACAACAAATAACTTAAATAAGCTTCACGACACAAAAATTTCTGCACACGCATGTTTATAGGAGCACTATTCACGATGTCAAAAGGTGGACACAACCCAAACATCCATCAACTCATAAATGGATCGATAAAATGGGTTGTATTCATTAAATGGAATATTATTCAGCCATAAAAAGGAAGGAAGGAGGAAACTTGATAGCATGCTAGTGAAAAAAAACGGTCCAAACGCCACATATTATAAGATTCTATTTATATGTCATGTCCAGAATGAGCAAATATAGAGAGAAAGGAAGTAGATTAGTGATTGTTTAGGGTTTGGGAGGCAGATGGTGGTAGCTAAGGGGTATAGAATTTCTTCTTGAGATGATGAACATGTTCTAAAATTAATTGTGGTGATAGTTTTACAACTTGGAATATACTAAAAAACATTGAATTTTATACTTTAAATGACTAAACTGTATATTAACTATATCTTAATAAAGCTATTATTAAAGAAATTTGCCCCATGTTCCTTCCTCTCCCTCCTAACGGAATTGTAGCCAACTTCCTGAATTTAGTGTCTGTGATTATCTTGCTTTTAAAAAATTATTTTCCACATATAAATGTATCTTTTAAACTATATATATTATATATCTATATATACACACTATATAATATATAATATATATTATATATATAATATATATATAATTTGCATTTTTTAAATTTGGTAAAATCAGAATCAAGCCTCTTCTATTGTACACGTTGATTATTTTTGCTCAGTATTGGGTTCCCTATTGATCCATGCTCATTCATTTCACGTGGAATGTAGCACAGTTTCATTATCCTGTCTCCTGTCAATGGACATCGGGTGTTTCCAGTGTGTTCCCATTACAGACAAAGCTGCCATGAGCATCCTCACACAAGCCTCCTGGTGCACCTGGACACTGCTCTAAGCAGAGGCTTTAAATCTTTTTAGCCAAGATCCACAGTAAGAAATACATCTTATAAGGTATCAGGATATATATAGACTGGAGGTATATAAACAAAAGTCTTACCAAAACCTAGATGAAATACACTCTGATAAATTCTGTTCTCTATTATCCTGTTTCATTTACTTTCTAAAAAAAATATTGACTGTGACCCACTAAATCGAAGTCATCACTCACTAAAGGGTCACAACCCAAAGCTGTTGAGTTGTACGGTATTGTTAGGCAGAATAGATAGCTGCTAGGGCAGGAGGGGGGAAGGAGGGGAAAAGGGGGGTTTATCTCACCCACTGAATAAAAAAATCAGCAGTCTTGGGACTTGCCAAGATAAAATTGCCAGATATTCTCATAAATTCTGGGGAAAACCACAACAGGGTAAAAGGGGGACCTTAAAATCTAGTCTGTTGCCCAAGATATCCAGCAGAGGAACCTTGAAACCTATAGGGAGGGGAGTATAAAACCCTTGAACACCTACTAGGTGGAGCGTGCAGACTGAGTTGCCCGTTTGTGTTTTACGTTTTATTCTCAATAAATATTCTTGCTTTGCTTTCTTAATAAATTTGCTTGCTTTGCTTCAACACTGCTTTCTGTCACTCGTCTGAATTCTTTCTCACACATGTGACAAGAGCTGAGGAGCGGAAAGCCTGCTCTGACTCGGGCAGTTCTCTGGTAACAGTATGATCTTCTTCAACTTTATTAGAGATAGAATGCAAAATTAAGCTTCCCACGGGCAATGCACCAGAGTCACAATTGCTCAACATCTTTTCAAATATTTGTCAGCGTGATAGTGATAGCATGGGATCTTTTTTTCCATTTCTATATTTACTGGACATTTGTATTTACTCCCATGAATGATCTATCAATATATTTGTCCACGTTTCTCTTGGGTTGTTTATCTTTTTTATTAATTTGTATATTCTAACAGTGGTCTGTTTTTAGTTCTTGTGCTATAAATATCTTCTCCCAATATTGATCTGTCTTTTAATTTATGGTGTGTTTTGATAAACAGATAAATAAATGTGGTTTTTTTTCTTTATTGATTTTAGAGAGAGAGAGGAAGAGAGAGGGAGAGAGATAGAAACATCGATGAGAGAGAACATCGATTGGCTGCCTCCTATGCCCCCCACTGGGGATCTGGCCCACAACCTGGGCCTGTGTTCTGACTGGGAATTGAACCAGTGACCACTTGGTGCATGGGTCGACGCTCAACCACTGAGCCACACTGGCAGGGCTAAATAGATGCTCTTATTTGATGTAATCAAATTTATTTTTCTGTGCTTTACACTTTTTTATCTTGTGTGTGTGTGTGTGTATTTATAAACTACAGCAAGATCATAAAGATGTTCTCCTGTATTTCCTTCTAACAATTTTGTATTTTTACCTGTGATGGTGAGTCAACTTGACTGGGATAAGAGATGTTCAGATAGCTGGTATATTATTTCGGGGTGTGTGTATCTTTGAGGGTGTTTCCAGAAGAAATGAGCATCTGAATTAGTAGACCGAGTA